TGTGCAATGATTTTTTTTTTTTTGTTTTTTTCGTTAATAAATTTTGCACATGCCAATTATGCTTAATAGATTTGGTGTGCATATTTTTATATGTACATATACTTATTACAAATAGCTAATTAATTTTTTTACAAATTTATCAAAAAGAAACAAAAAATTTAAGCTATAATATGTTTATATGATATGCTTACAAATGCTTGTAATTATTGAGTAAATATCTAATTTATTGTGTCAAAGAGTACAAATTATTTTCATTGAAATATGGTTGACACTGCTATATAGTTAATTCAATTTAATTAATATATATTACTGTTTTATTACATATATATTTAGCTAAACTTTGATTAAATTTTTGAAATTAATTGTATTGTAATATATTTTTAATTGTTTGCTATCACCCACTAATTATAACCAATTTAATTTTAAATTTAATCAATTAAAATATTTTAATGAAATTCTTACTATTTGAATGTACATAATATTATGTATATAAATTTAAACTATTTACATAATTGAAAATATTTACTAATCAATAGGAAATATTTCATCAATTACTTCTTTGACTGATGATTGAAATTTTCGAATATTTTTATTCAAGGTCCTTGTTTTTAATACTTTAAAAAGAATTGAATCAATTTGAACTTATAAATTAATAATGCTTATTTTAATGAAAACAATAGGTTATTTTTATCTTTATTGTAAATATTTTTTTTTTAAACAGCTGCAAATATAAATTTAAAGCGTACAGTATTTTTATTAAATTTATGATAGAAATTAAATTAATAGCAATAATTGAGGTTCGTTTGAAATATTTTTAGGTCACGGTCAAATTAAAAAATGGCTAAAGTACCATATATACTTCATATACTTTAACCAACAAGTACTTTTAAATTATTCATTGTTATTTATACAGGGTGTTTTTTTTGAAGATTTACAATTTATATGATTAAATTATATTGATTTTTCAAGTAATTTACAAATTAAATTAATATTTAATATAATAATGAAATTATAAATTAAGTATTTGTTATTTAAACCATTTAATTAGTATACTTGAATATAAAATAAATAATTAAATTTTAATTCATATTATTATTCAAAATATTAAAAAACCAAAAATTTATAATATTGATTTTTCGAAATTAGTCGAAATTTTTGTAAGAAAATTTCTGAGACAAATAAAATTTTGAAAAATCAATGAATTAATTTCCAACATAATATGAAATTATAAAATTTTGTAAATATTATTTTTGGTCTCAAAAAATATAAGCTTATCTAAATATACCCTGTAATATAAGTTAATAATGTGCTTTGCATGTTTTTAAACCTTGCATAAAATATTTAATCACATACAATAATAATTATTATAGTAAAAGAAGAACACACATAATAAACACATGCTTCTAGCTAGTATTGATTTGATTTTAATCTGAGCAAAAAAAAAAAATTAAAAACGACCACCACAAACTGAGGTGTCTTTTATATTCGTTTATGTTCTAGAACCAAGATTTAATACTATACTCATATGCATATAATATGTCGATCATGGCGTGTGAAAAATATGAAAAAAAACAAATATATAAAAATGAAAATTAAACTGCTGGATTTACTCACATGTGAAAGCTATTAAAAAATGTTATTGCATAAAATTAAAATTACATGTTTTTTTTTTTTTTTAAATTTTCCTTCTTTTTTCACATTTATTTTGTTTATAATTCATTTTCCAAGTAACAAGGACATTACACTTTATTACAAAAAGTTATAAACTACATAATTTTTTTTCCTTTCGTTTTTATTTTATTAGAAATGAAAGAAAAAATATATGCTTTTTTATTATTTTTAACTTGCGTGATTAAATGGAAATGTATTAGGGGTCAGATACAATAAAAAACTGTTAATCAACTCAAAATATTTTATAAATTTACAAATATACACGAACACACATACTTGCTAGTTTCTTTACTGTAGGTACAAAAAAAAAATTTTTTTTCTTCATTTACAGTTTACTTTAATTTTTTGTAATTTCTGTTTTCATTATCCTTAAAAAACAAAAACAAAATAAATTTTGTATGAGATCAGCATTATAAAATTATCTAATACAAAGTTAAAAATATCGTATATAATATTGTTGAAACTAAATACTTTTAAAAGGACATTTTACAAAATGAAAAAAAAATTATTATTTAAAAAAAAAAAGGTTTTTTTTATTTTTTAAAAGGGTCATTAATTAAATCCAAGATAACCGAGTAAATAAAGAATATAAATTTGACTGAACATGTAGATATTACAGAAATAAAATGAAAAATATTCTTGCTATATAAAATACAAACACGACCCACCAATATATATAAATTTGCCATATGCCATATTTTGGAATTGCAGCTGCAATTTTATAACCACATAAATCCATTAAAATTGTTTAAGTTTAAAATTCAACAAAGGAAAATAATATTGCATCTAATTAGTTTTAACTGTGACTTATTAGTATTTTATTAAACATAATATGTAATTTATTTTTAGTAAATATTAAAAAATTACTTTAATAGAATTATTTAAAGGTCTAACTCTATTCAGTAATTTTAAATTACTAAGTATTTGATTAAAAAGTATTAATTTTCTTTACATGTTTTCGACTACTTCAAATTTTTAAATAAAATATTAAGTCGTAATTGTTTAAAATACACCAGTTTCAATTGGATGCCTTTATAACATTCAGAGAGTTGAAATGCTATTAAACTTTAATTTGATAAAATTTTTTTTTAATCCAAAGTACAAATTTTTAATCCAATTGTAAGCCGAAATGTTTAACTCAAAGCAACTACTTATATTTCCCTGAATTATACTGTTTAAACGTCATTTAATAAAAAAAAAAAACAAAAATTAACTAAGATTTTAAAATTAGGATTATTTCTAAATTAACAACGTTGTTATGTATTTAAAATACTCGAATTACAATCACATTTAAAATATATCAAATTTCAAACGCAAACTTTAATATTAAATTTTGAAAATATTTTATATAAATTCAAAACAATTGTAAAATTCGAAAATAAAATTACAATTTTTCAAATTTATTTTTTCTCATTTCAAAATATTTGTCTTTAAATTTCTACTTCCAACAACAGCAAGAATTGACATTCTTTTTTAAAAAATATTCCTCCTTCACATACAAAAGTTCCGAATGGAACATAAAAAGTAACATTAACGTATACAAAAAAAAAAAATTTATCGATTTTCTTTCACTTCATTAAAAACATATTGCAGACTTTGAGGCTACAACATGAACTTGGCATGCTATCACGCTCTAAATTAATTTGTTTTTTTTTTTTTTTTTCAAATAAAAGCATACCATTAAATACCATATAAATAGCACAGTATAGTGTTAAATAAAAATGAACAATTTAATACAATATAAACCTGTTATACAAAAAAATTAATACAAGTCCTTTTTTAATAATGAATAATTTTTCACTAGCTAGCCTGTATTCATTTAGATGACAATGTTTTTTTGTTTCAAATTTTATTTTTCAACATTCACAAAATTAATTAGTGGAAAACTATCATTGTTAACAGATGAAAATTATTTTTTCCCTTTCTCTTTTACTTTTTATTGTCATCTTAATAATGTTGCCAATAAAATTATTAGGTAAAGAATGTTAACACTCTGCTTTGTATTCTTACATTATTGAATTTATGATATTATTAAGTCACAATTCTTAAAGTATAACAAATTGATTTAAATAATATTAAATAAATTATTGTTCTCATATTCAAATTCAATTTGTTATTACCTAGCAATAAATTTTTTGATTTATTGAATTGATGGTGAGAAGAAAATTCTGTTATAGAACACCACATATTTTAAGATTGAAATTTCTTCGGAAAATCAGATTCATTTTCAATAATAATTTAATGAATTATTAAATTTTCATTTGCAATGAAAACTAATTTTGATAATTATTCGGAAACTAATTAATTTTTATATACAATAATTTTTATATGATATTGCAAATTTACAGAGGCCCGATCAGTAATAATGTACAGTTTAACAAATTATTTATGATATAATTAAGATTCCATAAAGTATTTCAGTTAACTTGCATTCACCTAAGTCTTTACAAGAAATTTACTTTTATTGCAGCCTTTAATAAATAACACTCATTAAATCAATAGTAAGCATTTTGTTATCTTAAACCTACAATATTTTTCAGCTCCAAAATTATTAAATTCTGACTAAAAATTACACTTCGGAGTAAAAACATCCTCTTCTCTGTTTTCAATGAAGATAATAAATATTGATAAAATATCATTGTTAATATTTTAATTTAAAAATTTATTAATGGTTTTTCACAAAATTTTCTCATTTGTTTCAAAATTGTTATTGTAATTTTATTGACTATTATGGAAAAAATCCGTTTTTAAGAAAGAAATTAAATAACCGCAAAATACTTTCATTTTGTACTCTACGATAAATTAATAATAATTATTTAAGTTAATTTCCATTCTGTGTGTGTGTGTAACCAGAATATTTAACGACAATAAAACTATAATTAAAGTCCGAGCACAGAACAACAGGGATTATTTTAAAATAAAAGAATTTTTTAAAGCAAAGCATCCAAACAAAAAAAAAAAACATAAAATTAGTGTGTGTGTACTCGAAATATTTTGATATAAAATTGTATAATTATAGTTCTATATATTCTTTTACTTTACGATTGTGAATATTACATTTCCTTTATAAAAGACAATTGTTAATTATTACCGTATAATTATATTAAATAAATTATAAATTAATTAAACTCATATAATATTAAATCAAAATTACATTAACGATAATTATAATTTTTTGAAAAAAAAAAAAAAACTCTTCAATTTAATTTAATTATTTTGAAATTAATTTAAAATTATAAAAAAGCTATTATTATACAAAAATATTATTTAATAAATATTAAAAGAATTTTCTTTTTATTAATTTTTTCATAAATTTTATATTTGCTTAGGTATTATCACTTGGTGCTGATGTCCTGCCTGAATATAAAATGCAAAGTCCTAGTGTACATAAATGGACAATATTACATTATTCACCATTTAAGGCGGTGTGGGATTGGTTAATTTTAATTTTAGTAATGTATACAGCAATTTTTACACCATATGTAGCTGCTTTTTTACTCGGTGAACCTGATTATAATCAGCGACGTAATAATAAGTATATTCATAACGATCCAATTGTGATAGTCGATTTAATTGGTAAGTCAAAAACCTAAAAAAAAAAATTAGAGATTATAGTTTTGGAAAATTAAATGCGTATTTAAATTTCTTTCCAAATATTTTATTCCATTATACTAAATGTATGTATATACAATTTATGATATCCGTACAAACGTATGTTCGAAAGATATAATAAATTTGCCTGACCGTTTGTATTTTTTACCTAACGCTAAAAAATAATGGTCTAAGATATAGATTCAAGTATATTTAATCTGACTCGATTTAAGTATTTTTTTTCATGTTCATCCGCCCGTCCCTATGATAACAAAAAAAGCAACTGAGCTAAATTTTTCAAATTTTTTTAAATTATTTACGAGTATTATAGTAAATTCTAGAACTCTATGTAAATTGATTAATTTACTACTTGTGGTAACTAATATACAACTTCATAAGCTTTTTGTTCATAGTTGAAAAACTATTGAAGCTGCAAAGCTTAAACAATTGTTGGTGATGTGAATATCATTTTCAGTAAAATTCTTCAAAAAATTATGGGTTTATATAAAATGCAATTAGACACGAAAAGCAACAGGTTGTATGACATTAAACGTCAATCATCTCCGACATATAAAATCAATTATTCGTTCGGGTATCTCAGAGCTGACACGGTCAACTTTATCTTTTCGCGTTTAATTTAACTTTAAGGCAACTTTTTTTTTGTTTAAAACATTTTCACATTTATAAAATGTGACCGTATGTTTCATAAAGTCATTTGTCCGTAAAATGTTTTAGTCACTCATTTAAAAAATTTTGAATGTTTATTAAAAAACAAAATACGCATATATTGTGTATAAATTCGAATTCTAAATTAAATTCAAAATAAACTTTTTAAATCAACATTTATAAGAAAAATATGTTTGAGAAATAAAAATATGGTGAACCTTTTGTCACCACATCAAATTCATTTTTAATTTAATTAAATTTATTTTTTTTCCCAACATATATGATGTGACAAAATGAACAAAAATATATCCTTTTTAAGTTTTTTAATCCTAGTATATTTTTGATTGATTGAGCATTAAAATTTCGTAATGGTTTGTGGCTATTTTTTTTATTAAATTCAAAATTTTAAAATTATAAATTTTTGAGGAAATTTTAACAGAATTTTAGCAGTAATGAATCCCATTTTGGTAAAGCAAAATTGTAACGTTATTTGGTTTATTTTTGTTTGCTTTCTAAATGGTTGCTAATTAACTATGAAGTAAACTGAAAGCATCAGAAGTAAAATTTTTCTATTTCAAGATCCTTTTTTTTTGTCAGTCTAGAATTTTTCGTCCTATTTGCTCATCGACGTTTTAATTTCATCCTTATAATTTAATTTTTGTTTCTATTTACTTGATTTTTTACATTACTAGTATTTTAACTTTTGTACTAGTATGTAGTTTCTTAAAGACGACTTCCGAGGAAAAAGAAGCTAATCTGTTATTGAATTAAGAGAAGTTAATCTGTTTATGCATTCATTATAAATAGCAGTTTAACGAACCGATTAGCAGGTTTTTTAATTAATGGGGAAAAATTTTTTAAATTATTTTTAAATTTTTCAAATTTAAAATTAAAATGAAATTTAATATACAGAAAAAATCTAAAATATTTTCATTTTAATTACATATTAAAATTTTCGATCAAATGTGGGGTTGCAAGAAAAATATAACTAAATTAGTTAATTTAAGAAAATTCGCGTAAAACAATTATACACAAACTTACATTTATAAATATCACAATTTATTTATTAATTTCTTATATTTTACTTTCAATTATTTTCTTAGTGGATGTAACATTTGTGATAGATATATTAATAAATTTTCGCACAACATTCGTTAATGGCCAGGACGAAGTCGTTTCACATCCTGGACGAATAGCAGTACACTATTTAAGTGGATGGTTTCTTATTGATTTAGTAGCCGCAATACCATTTGATTTATTATTAGTTGGTAGCGATACTGATGAGGTAAGTCTAAAAGTTTTTATTTATGTTAAATATTATTATATTATATTATATAAGTATAATAATTATATACTGTTATATTTTTACAAATTATATTATATTATATTAAAATAAAATTAATATAAATAAATGAATAAATAAAAGTAAAAATAAAAATCTAATTTATTTATAAAATTTAATATAAAACATTTTATCAAGTTAATAAATTAATATATATATATATATATTATATTATATATTTTTTTTTTAATTAAATTGTGATATATTTGAATAGGTAATAAAATTATTAATTTGTTAATGTAATTTTATAATTTGATAGAGTTTTTCATTTTGTTTTTTATTGGTTTTATTAGTTTTCTTTTAAATTTGCAATTAAATTAATTTTTAAAACTTTTTCATTTAACTTGGTTAATATTCTTTTATGTAAGTTTCTTTTTTTATTTATATATGAGAATAATAATTTTTAAAAGAAAATTAAAATTTTAGAAATCAAATACTATAGTTATTAACGCCCTTCCCATAATGCTAGTTTAAAAAAAAAATGGAAAAATATGTTTCAATTTGTAAAATGGAAAATAAATAAATGCTAAGAAGTTTCAATTATAAGAATGCTGTTCTTTCGATACTAAGCATTTTAAATTTTTTATTGTAAACGGAAACGTTTTCAGATACAATTTTCTTCACATTAAATACAATTAAATTTTTACAATTAATTTTTGTTCTTAAAATAGTTTTGTGTATACATTAGAAACTTAAAAATATTATACGAGTACTAAAGGATATCTTAATTCTCTTTCGACGAAAATGTTTTCTTATAACAGAAACTTTGATTATAAATTGACAAAAAATTATAGTAATAAAAAAACAATTAAGTTTTTGTTCCTACATTTTCTAAATTTTTTAAAGTTTCATGTATAACGTTAATGTTAAATTTAAAAGGTTTCTCAAAATGAAATTCGAGGTATTGGAACGAGTGATCAATTCAACTACAAGAAGAAATATCAATCAAAATTCAGCTATAAATTCTATTTATTATAATGAAGGTGTAAATGGAAACAAATTTCATACAGATTAAAATTAAAACATCAACACCACATATATATAAATTAAGCAGAAGAACCTAAATTTTGAATTAAATTAAAATTTCAGATATTTTTGTCCTCTAAAATTTTTTCAGTTTCACTATAGAATATTTGAAGAATTGCAGTTCCCTATTCAATCGATAATTTTTAATAATAAATAATATGACTAGTTATATTGAATAATTTTATTTCTTAGCATTTTATCTTCATTTTACAAATGTATTCATATTTTTTTTAAAGTAAATAATGTAAATAAATTTTTATAGTATCAATGTGTATTAATGTTCATATAAATTAGGTGAAAATAATTTAGAATTCTCAAAACTTCATAATAACATTTATCTATATAATTTTATTTCAAAAACCAATAAACCAAAAAAAAAAATTATAAAAAAAGAATTATGAATAATTATTTTAGGTGGTGTTAGAATTGAAACTTTAAAGTTTTAATTAAACTACAAGTATATACCTAGGAATTAGTAATTAATAAATCAATAGAAATGAAAATAATTAATTTTATATATTCTTTTTATATATATATATATTAAAATAAAATAAAAATAAAATCCTCATATCCAGTTCAATATTATACATTTAATTTAGCATTCTTATTAACTAAAGTAACAATAACTACCTTAAACCTTATAAATGATGAAGGTAATTTAAAAAAAATAAAAAGAAATCATTAACAATAGTGGGCAAAATATATAAAAAAAAAACAAGTGTATGATGTTTCAGCATAATATTTTTTAATAAATGAAAATTTTAGAAGAAAAAACGAATTAGAAATTATGAGAGTATGAATGTTGAAAAGGATCTATTTTATTTAGTTTCCATACCTGAAAATTTAATAATTTGAACCGAAATTTCCAACAAGAAAATGAAAGAAAATTGTATAAAAAATTTTCTTATTTATAATTCTTACTTAAAATTCGAAATTCAAATAAATGACAATGACAACAAATTAAATTTTAAGCATAACTCTATCGTACTGCATAATACTATATATATAAAGAAAAATTAATTAATTTTCAAATGAATATTAATTAAAAATATAAAATATTGAGCATATACATTTCTGTTATCCTGAAACAAGATATTAAAAATAACAAAAACAAAATGAAATACGATTAGTTCATCGATATTTTGCTTATATTTCTATAAAACAACTAACTTACTGGAGCCTTTCTATGTAATTCGATTTTCGTAGCTGTAGAAATGGAAAGGTAAGGTAGTACAATAGAAATTGTTTGGTGCCACTTTACCATGCTTACGAAAAAGAATATCATTTCATAAAAATTGAATTTTGAAATTCGAAATTCCCCAAATTTCGATATTCATATTCTACATACACTCTCCAATTGATCGAAAAAATATTATGCTGAATTTCATCTTGTACTCGTATCATATACAACTTCGATATTATAGCTTTTTTCATTCCAAAATTTTAACCATAATGTTATCATACTTTTAAATTTAAAATATTAAAAATTGATTTTCAAAAAAAAAAAAAAAAGAAAAATCATAGGAGTTTTGTTATTGTTCGAAAACGTTTTATATTTTATATTAGACAGTTTCTGTGTTTTTTTTTTTCAATGTTTCAAATTCAAATTCTATATTATATTACATATTTTATATATTAAAAAATAATTAACTTGTTATTTAAAAATTGTTTAGAAAATAATATTCAAATTTTTTTAATCAAATAAAATGATTGTTTTATATTTTTTATATTGGTTTTTGATTTGTTCATTCTGGTTCTTTTTGTTTTGGGTTCTTTTAACTTGTTTGTTTCGGTTATTCGTTTTTTGTTTTTTGTTCTTTTCTTATCCATTATATACAATTGAGCATGTTTGTTGTTTTTGTTTTTTCATTAAGAAAATGGAATTTATATAATATGTTTTTTTTTGTTTTTAAAGTTTTAAGTTTTACATTTCTTTTATATAAAGTGAAGTGTTTAATAATATTAATTTTTAAGAGTAATAATTTTTTGGTTTCTGTTTCTGTTTTATATTATTCATTAATTTTGTGCATTGTTGTGATCATTTGTATTATATAATTATATATATACATACTCATATTTCAATAAAAATAAAAGATTAATATTTTTTAACAAATAATAACTATTATGAAAAAAAGAGTCATATATCTACATATTTACAAAGAGTAAATCATTCATAATTCTATTGTTTGTTTTTTTTTTTTTATTTTAATAACATAATAATATTATTACATATATTATAAATATGTTAATTAAATTAAATTTTTACGAATTTAATTAACATAATATTATTAACTAAAATTTAATTACAATAATTTGTTATTTTTATAACATTAAAATATTGGTGTTTTACTATATATACTTCATATATTATTCTATATATATATATATGTATATATATAAATATTTTATTATATTGTAATTATATTTTTTACATTAAATGTTTGTTGTACTTAATTTATTTCTATATATGAAAAATAAATATTAAAAAAATTAAAAATATTCAACAAAATTTATTAAATATTAAAATATCAACTATATTTATATAATATATAAGAGGTTGATTCTAATACAAATTATTCAATAAAAAATTTATTGAAAAGAATATAAAAATTTGTATTAATTTAAAATACATTTGATATCTATTTTATATACTCGAATAGATAACAAAATTATTATTTATTTTTAACATTTTTGTTTTTCATTTAAAAAAAAAAATTTCTCTTACTTTTATCAATTATTTTAATTTCGATTTAATTTTTTTTTATTATTTTAATTTAATCATTTATATTATATAAGAATATTATTAATATTCATTCATATAATGTATATTAGGGCTTGGAAATATTAAATACAATATAAGAATAGCTATATAAAAAAATTGAAAAAAAAAATTAAATAAAATTAATTAGGGTTTGTATTTGATAATTTATTATTTACAAAAAAAAAAAATATCAAAGACTTTTCATTTAACATTTTATTTAAAATAGAATTTAATTTTAAATTTATAAATTTAATTTCATTTTATATTATTTTGTGTCTATTATTTTTACTACATTTAAAAAGATTTATAGCGAATTTTTATTTAACATCGCATTATTTAACTTTTTTTTTCTTATTTTATTATACCTAATTTTATTTTGTATACTAATATTGTTTGTCAATAACCAATTTAATTCGCTTACCTATTTATTTATTTCTAAAATAAATTTTAATATTTTATTTTAATTTTTTTTTCTTAATTACGATAAATGTGTGGAAAATTAATCATTGTTATTTTGAGAAGAAATTTCATTTAATAATGTTGTCTTCATAAAAAAAAAGGACATAAATTTTCATTTAAATAATTTTAACGATATACTTACGATATACATAATATCGTAATACTAATTAAATAATATCGTATATCGTACATAATGCACAATATCGTATATCGTAAGTATATCGTTTGATACGATGTAAAAATTTCAAAATGATTCAAATGATTTGTTTTTCACAATAAAAATTAATTTTTAATTATTTTTTATTTTTCTTTTGTTAATTTTTTCTATTTCTCATCGGTTTTTAAAACGATTTTATTTATTTTTTCTCATTTGTTTTATGTATAAAAAATAATGCTTTACATCTTGAATGTTTAGAATGTAATTGAAAAAATCACTGTAAATATTTTTCAATACGACTACCTATATACCTAATATTATTATATAAAGAGTATTTAAATAAATAATTAAAAAAAAAAACAGAAATGAAAAAATAATAATATTAATAATAATTCAGTGTTTAAATGAGATTTTATCAAAATAAAATTGCTCTTCAAATTTGTCGAATCGATTCATTTTAATTTATAATTATACGTATTATATATGTATAATGATATTAAACATTTATTGACAATTTTTTTTCTAATTTTTCATCTCTACTTATTTTTTTAATTTTTATTGGAATAATATGCAAATTTACTTGATTATTGATATGCTGAGCTATTCATTTTTGTAAAAATATCAAATCAGTATATTACTATACATTATAAAAATTAATTAATTAAAATTATTACATTAAAACATGTTTTAGCGAAAATCTTAGCGAAAAAAAATATAACAGATTGATTTCTTTTTTGCGGCTGCAATATTTATAGCACAAATTTTATTATCAGAAAATTTAAAATTGGATTAAATTAAAACTGACTTTTGCAGCTTCATTTATCATAATTAAATTTTTTAAATAATAATTTAAGGATAATTAAAATTTTTGTATTTACAAATATTTTTTTTAAAAATCTGGATTTTATAACTAGATATAATGAAAAACAAAAATTTTCTTTCATAAATTTGTGATATATAAAAAAAGTATTAATAATAAGAGTTGAAATTTTTTATGAAATGAAAGTATTTAAGGCGAAAATAATCGCTGACTTATTTTAAATTTTATTTTATTTCATAATTGTTGTACCAATTTTTATTAAATTTTTACTAATAATTCAATATGTTTTGAATATTGTATAAGTTATGGGCATTTATGTACCTCTCTATATGTATTACTTAATTTTTTTGATTCGTACATAATTGTGTACTATTTATAATTGTTTATGTGTCCTCTTATAATTTTATTTTTATCGTTATTTATTAGAAATCAGAATATTAGTTGATATTATTCAGTTAAAATATTGATTTAATATGAGTAAGAATTGGGGTTCAAAATAAAAATAAAATTTAAGTTACTTGCATTAAAAAAACATTTTCTTTTATTTTATAATTTATTAATAATGCCCTTAGACTGGGAAATTGATTACGAAAATTAAAATTTCATGTAATTCATATAATATTTTTCCGTCTTCAGGATTCCCTTGTTTTAATTATATCTATATAATTTTTAATGAGAGTGTTGTATAATATATTGAGCTTTAAATATACAAAAAATTCAAAACTCGATTCATTTATAAATATTATTGATGAGGTACAAACAAGTATAGTTTCTGTAAGAATTTTAGAATATTTCTTATAAGATTTAATAATACATAAATAAAAATCTACACGTTGTGTTTTCAATTAGTAATGCAGTAAAATATAAAAGCCTTTCTCTCAGTTTTTAACTTTATTATATATTTTACTTTATGTATTACAACATTTATTAAATAAACTGATAATAATAGAATTAAAAGAATTTTTAAAATAATTTTTTGTTTTGCTTTAATTTCTATTTAAAATAAATATATAATTTTCAAATCTTCTATATAATAAATAGAACTGTTTGAGAAATTATTTCATACAAAAATTGAACTCATTTAAATTATTGAATTATATTATTAATATTCATTAATATTGCATTCATAATATTAAGGAAAAAAAAGCAAACAATATTTAAAAATAATTTTCTAATTTTATCCTTTTTTATTTTTTGTATTTTAAAAAAGAAAACTCACATTTTTTTTTTCATTTAAAATCATTTTTGTTTTTATTAAAAATTTTAATTCAATTATTTTTTTATATATTAATCATAAATATATTTTCATTTGTTTTTTGATTAATAAAATATTTTTAAATATTCAAAACAGAAAAAAAAAATTTTCTTCATTTTTTCATTTTTTAATGTTTTTTCACATTCTTTTTAAAAAATAATATGTTTTCTATTAAATGTTTTGTTTTTGCCTATGTTTTGTTTTTTATTATTTTCTGTGATAATTACAAGTCAAATTAACTTATAGTTTCTTTTTCTTTTCTTTTAATAATCGACGTATTAAAACAGCTTGGCTTGGACAAAGATGAGGTATTGTGAATAAAAAAAAAAGGATAAATAAAATAAAAAAAAAACAATAAACAAAAAATATATATTAATTTTTTTTTCCAAGAAAAAAACAATGAACATTTTAAAAAGCAAAAGCAAAGAATATAACAAAAAAAAAAAAAAAAAAAAAAAAAAATAAACTCTAACTCCAAATTATTAACAATTTCATTTAAATTTTATTTAATATATATGTATATGTACGTATATATGAATATATTAGGTATATTATAAATATTATACATATGTTATATAAACATGTTATATAATATAATAATATACTTAATATATTTATATATAAATAATAATTTTTTTTTGTATAACAATATGAATTCGGACAATCAAACATAAACTCACATATAAATGAAAATTATTTTTTTTTTTTATTTATTTGTATTTTTTTTTCGTTTTTGTATATATATATATATCACATATATTTATATATATTTTTGTTTTATGTTTTTTTATATTATTTCATTATTATACATGATATAAAAAATTTAAGCAAACGCTTTAATTATCTATATATATCAAATTGGAATTAAATAAAATAAAATATTAAAAATTTCTAATAATATTCAATTTTACGAGTATATACATATTTATGATTTTCATTTGCATATGTATGGAAATATAATGTAATATGCATAAAATTATGTATTATGTATACTTTGGTTAGAACATCCATTATTTTTTAGAGGGAAATAATAAACTATAATAATTTTGAATTGAAAAAATGTGAGAGAAGTTTATCATATCAGAATCAAAGAGCGTAAAATTTGTTGTAAGATACCTATTACAATTAAATGTTTTGGAAGTTAATTTTTATCAAGCGCCCAGCTCAATTTTAAGAGAATTTCATATATTATGGGAAATTTGAACTAAACAAAGAATCGCTTCATAAATATCAATTATAAATATTACATAATATATAATGCATATTATTATTTCATACATTAAAACCTGCTTGAAAGCAAAACAGGTGACGATTTGACAATTTTATCAGGTGACGATTATGCAACAAGGATTTTATTTTTCTAATTATACTTACTATATTTAAATTTTTTAAAATATAGACGGTCAACATCATTAAGACTTCATTAACATTAAAATATCTCAATTGCATGACTTTTCATTTTATAAGAAATTTCTATTGAAATAGATTTCTTTCAAGCAAGGTTCAATTGAAAATTCGAAAAAAATTATAATATTCGAAACAATATAATTAATTAATATTAAAAAAAAATTTTGTAGTCTTTATTTTGGTTACATTTATAAGACAAACCATTTAAAATTTTATTTTTTTTTTTTGGAAAAATTTTGTCATATTGGCTTAACTATTTTCTATACTATTTTTTTTAAATTCTCATAAAATCTTTGAAATCTAATCGAAAATGAAGGCTACTACGAACTTGCAAAAAAAAAAACTAAAAGAAAATTTTAGGAAAATTTAAAATTTGTAAAACAAACCGACAAGCAGAAAAAAAAAATCAATAAAACACATACAGCAATACACTGATAAACACCAATTTTTTTTATTATATACATATATACTTATATATCAAAATATTACATGTACAAATCAATTTTTTTTTTTTATTTAATTTTATTTTTTTTTTAGTGTAAAATCACATATTTATAATATTATTATACAAGTAAAATTTCAGGTTTTTTAATTTTAAAATATACTTATTTAGTGGGGTATCAGTAACACAATTAAATTGAATCTCAAGATAAAAGTTGATAATAATTGCTTATATTTAATTCCATAAGAGCTATGCAAAAAAATTTCATGAAAATCAATTCAACAGAAATTTATATTTCGATTTTATTAGTTCACATTGTCACCCGCACCGGCGATTTTCGTATGAAATACAGGTTATTTATTAAAAATTTAGCTTTTCAGGCCCAAAATATGGTAAAACACTTGAAAGTTTTGAAAATTTGCTATTGTACCTACAGCATTTCATTCACCAATTTCTTTAACCTAAAAAGGAGGCCAGGGCGGTAAATTTAATATAAAATTTTTTTCAAATCAAAATTCAAATATTAATAAAATTTTATATATGTATATAAATTATTCAAAAGAAAACTTCGGATAAATCAAGTAGGAATTTTAAAATTTTTTGGATCTAACTTTCGAAATAATATAACTACAGCTCCCAGGTGTGTTGCAACTTCGTAAAGCCCTTGACATTTCCATTCGCCAGCTCCCAATGAAAAAAGTGAAACTCAAGAAATGCTTCCTGGAATTCATCAACGTCGGGCATGAGCTTGGAAGAAAGGTCTCCGTTTCTTTCTTTTCTTCATCACAGCAGCCACTTTGAATTTTGGTTTGTGGGCGGATCATCCCCTTGACATGTCCGTTATTCAATCAATATAACCAATGTCCAATAAGAACCCGTTTTACGATGGCCATATCCTATCATATTGTAGAAATATTAGATTTCACACACAATAAAAATCTAGCTTCTTTCATAGTTTCTTTGCTGAGTTATATACATGTTGTTTGTTCCATTTTGCATAATAATCTAATGTTGATTTGCTCTACAAAAAAATGTTAGCTAATATGGTGACAATATGTGACTCAATTTTTTCCAAAAGAAATATTTTCAATTTAATTTAAATAAAAGCATAAATTTCTTAAATTTAAATTTATTTTCATTAAATTAAAAATATGAAAAATAATTATAATTATGAAATTTTACTTGTATATGTAAAAGAATTGCTATTTATTATTAATATATAAGTACAATATTGTTATTATATTTTTATTTTTTTAATGTTAGGTATATTTGTTTTTTTTTTTTGTTTTTCTTTTCTTTGTTTTGTATTTTGTTTGTCTCAATTACATTATTGCCATTTAACTTTTGTTTTTCTTGTTTTTTAATGAAAATACGAAAGAAAAATTTATATTGTAAGAAATACATAAATTGTGTGTGTGCGTGTGCTTTTATGAGTGCTTTTTTTTTGTGTCTTTAAAAATCAAATTATATAAAATGAACACTTCAATTTAACACTTGCTATTAATTTTTAATAATTTTTTATATAATAGAATTGTGTGTATTTTTTTTTAAAATAATAATAATAATAAAAATTATTATTATATTTATAATGAATATTATAAGAATACAGTATTATTACTAATTATGTTAGAAAATTTTGCAGCGCTATATTGATTTCATTAATTTTGTTTATTAATAATGTTGTTGCAATAGAAAGTCTGTCGGTCATTTTCGAAAATAAAAATTATCAAATTTTTTTTTTGTTTATTAATTGATTTGCGGTTCTAATATTATATTAATAACTATTATTTTTTTCCAAAATATTATTTTTATTAATTTTTTATTTCTGAATATTGAAATATAAAATGGTAAGGCTATGCAATTCAAATTTATTTATTTACCATATTTTTATTATTTTATATATTTTTTTTATTATTTTTACATACATTAATTATTATTTTATTTATTTTATATATATATATACGTTACAATACTTATTTTAATTAATTTGATTTGCTAAATGTATTAAATTTTTATTTTATTTTTTAATTTTATTCTACATTTAAACAATATTGATTTGATTACACAAATTTCGTGTATATTAAATTAAATGTAAAAAAAAAATTATTTGTGAAACAATTTTTCATAATATTTTTTCACAATAATTGCAATTGCAAATAAAGAAAAAAAATATCAATTTTTGGAAAAAAGTTTTTTTTTTACCAATTCATCATAATTTAATGGGCATTATTTTTTAAACTTTATTAACTGCAATCAAAAAAGTAAAAGGACATGAAAAAAAAAATTATTTTAGTTTTGTATTTCTTTTTTTTTAAAGCTTGATATTTCGACTATTTGTTGTACTTTATTTTTAATATTTTTGTTTCCTATTCTTTTTTTTTTTTACTTTTTTTTATGTTTTCGAATATTAAGCGCTAGTTATTTTAAGTCCAGCATATTAAACATAATAATGTATATATTGTACATAATATGAAAAACAAAAATCTTATTTGATCAAATTAAAAAAAAATTTGTTTTTTTGTTAAATCTATGTTAATTATTAATATTCAAAACCTAAAGAAACATATAAATATATAGATAATTGGTTCTAAGAAAATTCCCTTTCTTCTAAATTAAGCACAAAGCATTAAAAAATTTTAACTGCATTTCTTGTTTAACTGATAGAATAAATTATGCTAATACACATTGGAACAGATTTATTTGGATTAACAGATTTGTTTCTGAAGTAAAATTTAATTTTAAAAGATACTTGAGATCAGGAGTATCTCGCAAACAGAACAGAGTACATAAAAATAAAATGTATATTGTTACCGATTAAATGTAAAAGTTTGACACTCATTGAATCTGCCTTTTTTTTTCAAACTTTGAGATACGGGATATGAGAATATTTAATAAAGACTGTCTAACATTTTTGTTGATTGAAAATAAAAATTTTCACCTTTCAACATTTAAAGTATTAGCAAAGCTATTTTGGTTTGAGAACAGTAACTGTTTTTTTTTTTTTTGGTTTCTGAGAGGATGTGTGCAAAATACATTTGAACGAGTTTCAAGAGATATAACTCGGATCGGAGAGTAGATATAGCAAGAATTTATTTTATGTAAATAATGCTTTAAATCAACGGACTATTAAACAGAAAAATACATGAACTGATGGTTTAATGAACAAGTAAACAGATAACGTAGATAAATATATTAAGACCCATAACAATGACATTTTTTTTTTTTTCAAAAATTTTTTGGAATATAGTGTAATTGACTCTGTAATAAAGTTTATTTTGTTCTATAAAATTTTTTCTAATACTAGAAAACAAATCCTTTTAAGTAAACAGTGCAAACTTTTATGTATTGCAATAAACAAAAATGTATAAGCAAGTCCATGTCCATTGGAATGTGTTTTACAACATACATTTTTGACATTACAAAACTCCACTTTTTTCATTTTAAAATTTAGAACTTGCT